TCAAAAACATCTTAAATATACAAAGGTAGCAAAGTTTATTGCTGAAATTCTTAAGACTTACCAAGACCTCCACTAATCCCAGAGAACGACGGGTCTTCGCCGAAAAGATCAATAATTTTTATTGTTGTGGGCGTCGGCGAAGCAGGTTTTTTTCCCCCTCCCGTTTCCTTTCTTGTCTTTGCTACCTTGTTATGCTTCTTTTTGGCCGTACTGACCATGGCCCTCCACTTATCTTTAATTTCTTCTGGTGTCCTTTCGCTTACACCAAGAGCATTCACTTTTGAAGTTATGTCTTTCCACGTTTCTTTCTTTTTTTTGTGTGTTACAACCGTGGAAAATTTGCTTTTTATGATGTCGAGGTGTTTTTCCGCCTCCTCTAGAATTATAGTACATTCGGAACTGGTAAAATTAGCCTTTCTGTTACGTTTTAACTCGCCGGTAATCTCTAATTCGGCCGCCATTTTTATTGCAAAAATGACGAATTTTACCTAGCAACGCGAAGCCATTCCAGTGCGAAACACTGCTTAATCATTTAACCAGTGGATAGTTATCCAACGTTCTATTTGCCCTTCGTGCAACAGCATTTTATCCACTGGATAACTATCCRCTGGATAGCGAGTTTATCCTCTGGATAGCGCTTATCCGGTGGATAACCTATCCAGGCTTCGTACAACCGGGCCCAGGTTTCTTTCTGCAGTTGCACTTTGGTTCTTGTTGCTCGGTTGCGGTTCCAGTTTTGATTTTGCTTTTGTTGTGGGAGTCGATTATATTCTTTACATTTGGCATGCATGAATAGCTTAGCTTTAAAGTATTCTTGTTGAAGATCTTGTGTAGTGGGTAGTCTTTTGGGAAGCATTTGTTGACTGTATTTAGAAATTTTCTACCAAGGTTTGTCTTTACATTAGAGTTCCATGGTGGGTTGTACCAAGTTATATTACGTTTGCGGTTTTTTCTAGCTTGTGTTCTATTACTTTGTAGGTTAAAGATTAATTTGTGGCTGTAGCCACTTTCGTCCAGTGCTTTTTGGTAGGGTGGAATAGTTTCATTAAAAACGTCTTCATTAGATGAAATATTACTTAATCGTTTATTAATATTCAGAGGTATGTTTTTCAGTAGTAAGGGTGGATGGTTACTTTCATTGTGAACGTAAAGTAGTTGAGCACTATGAAAAATTATTCTTCAATATTAAGTTTGTGTACATACATATATATATATTTTTTTCTTTCTACTCAAATAGATATAAATAAGTCAAAAAAGTGTAATATGTCAAATCAATATATTTAATATTTAAATAATGTTTTTAATGTAATAYATAATTTACCTGCCTAGACTAGCTATATGCTATTTGCAGGTATATATGTAATTGTAATATGTAATTGAATTTGAATAAACTGAAACTGAAAACTGAAATRATCTGAGGGCGGTTTTCTGAGGATAGTTAATCGTTCCATTGCTGATTGAGAGTACTAAATCGAAATCACCCAATGCTTTTAAAACCAGTGAGCGCCCGCAGTACACGCGGAGCCGATCACGTAAATGTGACGTCATTCATTGATAATAATAATAAAAGATATAATAAGAAAACGAGACGCCAGTTGATCGCTATAGTAAGCAATCCGCTAGAACGTGCCATACCATGGAATTAAGGAGCGGAAAAGTGATAAATCCTGAACGGTTCGAATCCAAA